TAAATTAGAGAGCTGATTGAAAACGTATCTTCTTTTTCTTTCAGACTTTTTCTCATTTATGTTACCACTAACTTGCATAAGAAGTATTAAAATGTCACAGAGGAGCTGATCAATAATTGCTTAACGGATAAAGAAAGAAATTCAGAAATGGAAGGTAACGGAGGCATGTAAATGCCACAGGAAAAATCAAAAGCAAAATGAAACTGAGAATAAAAAGGGAATCCCCTGTTTAAATTTCATAATTTTCCAAATAAAGCAGAAGTCATCAATAAATTCTAGAATTGTAAGAGACCTCCCGAGGCCCTTCAGATAGGGACACTACTCAAGAGACCTAATGGATAGAAAAAAGTTAAACAGAATTCCCCTCTTAAGAATACTCCCCAAACTGGGGCGCCTGGGTGGCTCAGTTGTTGAGCGTCTGCCTTTCAGCTCAGGTCATGAACCCAGGGTCCTGGGATCGAGCCCCGCATCGGGCTCCCTGCTCGGCGGGAAGCCTGCTTCTCCCTCTCCCACTCCCCCTGCTTGTGTTCCCTCTCTCGCGGTGTCTCTCTCTGTCAAATAAATAAATAAAATCTTAAAAAGAAAAAAAAAAGAATACTCCCCAAACTAACAAAAAGAACAAACAAAAACTCCAGTGTTCCACAACTAAATAATTATGGTGTTGCCAAAGCTCATAGGGATTGAGATGAAAACATTTCTTTGGGATCTTGTTCCAGGATTTAAATATGTCTTCCAACCTGAGGTTCTTCATTCTATCTAACCAACATGTGAACGGTGTTAAGCCCATATTCTCAATTTCCGTCTGTGGGGAAATGGGAACTCCCAGTCAGCCTCCAGGAGACAATCCTCCCATCTACGGACAGATCTGAGCCTCCCCTACATTGGTAAGAACCTTCCATGGCAGATGACAATCAAACGTGCTACCCAGGCCCCACTCCCGCTCCCTTCACTCCTTGAGGTCACAGTCTCACCCCTATAACTTCCAGGGCTCTCAGATACAAATGGATGGCTGTAGGGACAATTTCTTTCCAGCAACTGCTACAAAGAAGAGTTCTTGGGGGAAGGTACAGGTTGGTAACACTCAAAATGTGGTAACTTAGGATCTATCGTTGTCCAGAATATTTAGCTGTATTGCACTCAAAAGCTGGGGATTCTGTCCACAAACATCTGTTCAGCAGAGGCTGGTGTGGCACCTGCCTTGCTTCCATGGCCAATTAACTCCAGGCACAGGCCTGAGAGCTGTTTTCCTGTCTTTCTAACCAAGAAGAATAGGGAGGGCCGAAGCAACTGAGGTTGCCTTTACGTGATTATAGATTCTGGTTTCGGTTAAATACATTGACAGTGAACTTACTGAATTCGGCCACGACAAGTATGTCCCAGTTCACAGATCTGACCTTGATCGATACAGAACTGTTTTGGCCTTTTATACAGAGATAGCCACATAATATTCCAATTATGTCAACTCCTATTTATAAACTACTTAATTATATTTAATATGCTTTAACTTGCTCCTGGGTCCTCTAAATACTCTTACATCTTTCCTTTCTCATGAGAAACAAAAATAGGAACGTGAGTGTGATAATCGTGTGACCCTCCTGTGGAACGGTCACATACAAAGGATGACATTAGGGTAGCTGAGCATCTATAGCAGTGCTATTACTATTAAATGATGGTGGTGATAATTGCTGGTGGTTAACTGCTGCGGTTCAATCATGTAACGAACTTCTCTTAATTTAAGAAAGGGTCCAACAGTCATAAATGCTTTTTGGGGAGGAAGGGAGAAAGATTTATTTTAATCATAATATTGCTGAAAGTAGATTTCCCTTTGCTGCATTTTCCATCTGCATGCACCACTAGTCAAAGCCTAATAACCCCAGAAAGGAGAAGGACTTGGGACAATGAACCTGATGATTAGTGTGCCCGATTTGCTGAACACATGATTCATAATGAGAGGAAAATATGAACACATGAATAAAAATACCAAGATGGAATATTTTCAGGTAGATAGGGTTTTTAGCAAACACTCTAAATTCACAGCCTATTTGACTATCAAAATGCCTATGAAAGCATGAACAGTTTATGAAGACAGTAAGATGACTAATGAAGAATATTCTTTGCTTTCTATTGGGAACTTCTGTTTGCTTCTAACTGTTTAATTTCTCCTCCATCTCTCTTTCAATTAACCTCCCTGTTTATATTCAATGAGATGGCACATAATATGGAGAAAGAAAAAAATTCTTGCGGATTTATGAGTGTTCTTTCATGAAGTGGCAGCTTCTTTCAGCCAGATGTGTAAGTGTTGAAACTGAGAGGAAATGCACAGAGCAGGAACTATCCCAAATGAGAAAATGTACTGTACTTTCCTGGGATGTTTAAGCCTGTGGCTCACAAAGGCCTCTTTTTAAATGGCCCCTTAGGCTTCAGTGTGGACATATACACAGGTTGTAAATAGACAAACAAGTAATTGGATCCTTGCAAGCCAAAGCTTGGAATAAGTAGCTCTAACAGTACAGGTGAGCAAAATGGTGATCTGAGGTCCTCTACGTCTTTTAAAAGGTCCACTCTGAAGAGTGATTTAAATGAAACAGGTCCTTTATTTCCACATTTTTACTCATATGGAGTATAAGAGCAACAAAATGAAATAAAACAATAGAAAATGGAATTGTTAACAGCCACAGCAAGATATGCTAAGTTATCCAACAAAGACCTCCTGCTAACAAACATCCTATGTGTTCCCAGAGAACTGAGAAGTTGTTCAAGAAGAGTTCATCTGTGGGAAACTAACCATGTACTATTGTCATGGTCAGTGAGGACATCAACAGGATGATTTATTTAGTAACTATAGATTGGCAGGTTAAATTTGCCTATGGAAAACTTTTTAGCACACTTCTTGCTTTTCCAAGTTGTATATTCGCGTGTTTGCTGTACTTCCTAGGACCCATAGGGTCAAAAATATAACGTTCCCCCCTCCACCCACCCTAGCTAGAATCAATTCATTTCTGATGGGTATGGGGGCGGTGGGGTCATACATAATTTGATGGAGTATGATTAGAGGTCTATTTCTCCTGCCCTGCCTCTGCTAATATGGGCATTCTGAGATTTGGGGCATGGCGCTGTCTGGTCTTAGGGGCGCTGCATTTTCCTCTCTATGTCCACAGAAAGATACACAGACTGTGGTTGTCAACTTTTTCTGTTTTACTGTAGTTCACAAGTGTGGTTCACATAGACAACAGGCAGCCACTGCCCTAGACTCCTGTCTTAAAGAGTAGAGGAGGGGAAAGCCGTATCAAGCTCGTGGGGATGAGCACTCTGTGAGTGCCAGGAATATGTGCACTTGCAGTTTTCCCCCGTGGGAACCCTACGCTTCCCGGATGTAAGGTAGTAAGCTCACATTCAACAAGTGAGACCCTACGGGCGGTTCCCAGGTAAGAGTTAACACAACATGCCTGACCTGTAGAAGTCTGCAGGGCTGGTTGTTGGCTGGCATCTGGAAAATTGGATGTTTTCTACAATGAGAAGGTGATTTTGCCTACCGGGAGAATCTTTTCCTCGGAGAATCTGGAATTTTGGTGGCTGTGGCTGACAGAGGCTCCTTCTTAGAGCAGCCCTAATAAAAAGCTCAGTCTCAAATGGGCTTCCCTCAGAAGAAGCATGTGTTCCTTGCACACGTGTCGGTATAGTTCACTGTGGGAGAAAGGTACATGCTCCATGTGACCTCTCTTGGTGAGAGAGAAAGAACACAGGAAGCCTGAGCATGGATTTCTCCAAACACCACCTGATGGGTCTTTTCCCTTTCTGATAACTATTATAGTCATGAGCACAAGAGCCCTGAGTATGTAAGCCCTCCTGTGGATCATCACATGTGGGGGTGGGGGGGCATCACCACCCTTAAAACAGATGCCAGGAATGTCACTCAGATGGAAAAGGACCTTACTTGAAGTTCTGTAAAGACTGTGACAATTTATAAGATGTATGTGATTTCAACTTTCCCATGAAAAAATTCCTAGCTAGCCAGTTCCTGTAAGCAGGAAAGTAAAGTACTTAATACTTAGAGCTGCACTGGAAGAAGAAATCTTTTCAGATACTGAGACTCCCTCCAACAGCTTTATCAAATTCTACCCTATGGACATAAAACACCATACCTCAAATTCTGAAATTTTTGTGGGACTGTGCCATTTATAATGGACATTGTACACCTTCATGGAAGTAAGGTAGACCTTGGCTACTTAACGTTTGTTATATTTTAATTTCAGCGACTCAGATAGTAAAAAACAAAGGCACTGAACACCCTGAAAATACGGTACTGTGGATGTTCTGGACACTTCTGCATCCATGCTAACTACCGTTTTTGTACCGACATTCTGATCTTAATCAAACACTTGCTTGTTTTATTTAACCTACGGAGTTTCACCAACATCATATCTGAAGAAGTGTTAGCATATAACTTGAAGAACATCTAGGCTTGTGCATTTCATTCTACTTTATTTCTTGTGCGACTACAAAATAAAGTCATAAAAAAGTCAAACCTCTTTTTTGAAAGACTCAAATATACCGACAGGTGCTAAGGTGTGTGGTGCTCCAATCTAGAGAAGCCAAAAAGACCCCCTATGTGGCATCTCTTTTAAAGTAAAAAATATTGCGGTTATGCAACGGCCCTATGGGACACCGAAAAATAATATTCAGTGAAAGCGTCCGTATAAGAAAGAAATGAAATCATCTTCGGGTGAGTCCATTTTTGTGGCCATCACAAAACAGTGAGTAAAAAAATCCTTATACTTCATGCTCGTGACATATGCGCGGAAAAAGAACCGCACTGCCTGTGCAACACGATGGTCTCACTTGAAAACACAATTCCTTTTTAAGAAAGACGAGTGAAAATTAATGAGAGGAAATCAGCTTTCTCCAAGCGGGAGTCAAACAAACAGCCAGCAACCTGGACGCTCCCCTCCCCCGCCCCGCCCCGGGATGCGCGCGCAGGGCGGCCGGGGAGCGGGGCCTACCGATGGTGCAGTGCTCGCCGTTCCAGCCCTGGCTGCATTCGCACTTGCCGTCCTTGCAAGTGCCGTGCTCGGCGCAGCGCGGGTGGCAGGCCCTCTGACTGCAGGCGGCGCCGGTCCAGCCCTCTTCACAGCGACACGTGCCCCCCATGCACACTCCGTGCGAGCCGCAGTCCACCGAACAGATTTCTGCATTGAACAGAGGAAGCAGAGC